CCAAATAGTAGCTTCTGTGGATATAGTAATCTGAAACATAGCATGGGAGGAAAGGACTAGCCCCCTTCCCCAAAATCTGAGTTCCCAATTCCAACCCACCACTACCCTACTATTCTAAAACTATGAAACACTCATGCAAAGACAAATTATATATTTAATATAACATGCAGTAAGGTTTTAAACTTGATAAAAATATGTAAGCAGCGATACCAACTGATCATTTCTGTGAAAACAGCACAAAAGAAAAAGACATTTTAGAGCAGTGGTTCTTAACCTGGGTCCGATCGAACACCAGGGGTTCGGTGAGTCAGTCTCGTGGGTTCGGCGGAAGTCAAGACACACATCCGATTCATATGATTCGTGATGACACGCCCCGCTTGTCCATCATTGGCTGCAGGAGATAACCTGTTTACGTTTTATATGCCCCACTATTTATATGCCCCATCCAACCAAACCCGCTTGCCCCGCCTCCACCGACAGAAGTGGCCCTCTGATTGGCCGTGTGGCGTGATTGACAGCACGGAGGCCCACTCCCCTCACCAGATGGCGCTGACGGTCCGTCTATATTGGCGGTAGAAGGGTTCGGTGAATGCGCATATGAAACTGGTGGGGGTCAGTACCTCCAACAAGGTTAAGAACCACTGTTTTAGAGTATACTCGAGTCTGTTTCCAATGGTTCAAGAAACAACACTGTTCTATTAGCCTTGATCAAGCCTCATTCCATGTAGAGTGGACCCTTCCCATCTGTGGGGGCTCAATTTTGGGCCCTCCTGCAGATGGAAATAAACACACTTACACCAAACATTATTCAATGGGTGGTAACGTGCACATGTCCCCAATATAGGTTTCTATATCCACACACCACCACTGAATAATGTGTATGGCGAGCCCCAGATTCTCCAATCCACAAATCGCCAGACCGCCAATGCAGCAGACCCACTGTACTGCTCAGAGCTCCAGGTGCTACAAGAAGAATGCTGGTAAGGTAGAAAACATTCACAGGAAAGCAACACAGCTGATCTAGAAGAAAATTAGTCTGGGGGGAGAAAGAAAAATTCTCACTGTTCTCAAATATTTCATAAAATTTGTTTTTTAAAAAGATGGGTAAAGAACAACATTTTCCGTCCACTCATAAAAGGACTGGAAGCTAGCTTTTAGATTTCAATTCAGCATTACCCGCTATATTTTGCCCCCAAGAACTACCAAAGAATAGGCGAAGCTGTGAATTTTCTTTCAGAAATTAAGATATCTGGTCAGGGATGATTTCATACTGGGAAACCTGATCTGACTGGATGATCATTTATTTCCCTCCAACTTTATAATTCTGTAATTCTATAATTACAGAGCAAAAAAAAGACAATCTGTAAACAAAAGCAACATCTTGAAAAAGAGAGATCAAGTAACACATGTGTTCTTTTGATGTACTACCTTCACTCATTAGATAATATTAATTATTACTTGAAAACATACTGAAATTCTAATGCTATAAAAGAATGGTTGAACACAGGGGCCGGCAACCTATGCCCCCCGGGCCAGTTCCGGCCCAGGTTGCCAGACTTACCGGCCCAGGCAAACCCCTGCCACCGCCACCGCCGCACCGCGTTTTTGCCTCCGTGCGGTTACACGCGCTGCAGCCGCCATTTTAATTTTCAAAATGGCAGCCGTGATGCATTTGCGTATGTGCAGCACTCCTGCGCATGCGCAAACGCGTTGCGCCCGCCGTTTTGAAAATCAAAATGGTGGCCATGACATTCATGGCGGCAGCGGCGTGAGCAGGGGGGTCGCGCGCGGCAGCAGGGGGGTCGCGCCCCGCCATTCCCCCCCCCCGGCCCGATGGAAAGGAGGACTTCGGGGGACCGGCCCAGAGCTTTAAAAAGTTGCCTACCCCTGGTTGAACATATCAGCTAAACATCTCAGACTACCTAACTAAAGCAGAAGATGAAACTCTTCTAATTCACTCATTCATTCTAAATGACTCCTCTTATGAACCTGTATTAAACTAGGGGAAATCCATTTTCATGTGGTAGTATCTCAAGATCATTAATGAAGAACAGTACCTCTAATGAGAGTAGAATCAAAGAAGACTAGTAACATTAATCAAGTTTAAAACCTTAATTTTCAAGGCCAAGTTGAGAATTAAACAAGCTCAAAAATAAGAATGTCTTTGACACTTTAATGCCAGTCTTAGAAGTAAAATACATCCCATAAGAGTTCATGCCAGTGCAAATTCTATCTTTAAAGAGTCACAAAACCTTTTCTTGTTTTTGATAGATCAGATTATTTTACTTCCTCTTCTAGAAATCAAATTATGACAGCCTGGACAGCCTAACCTGGACAGCCTAATCTGACTGAGCCTGGGTTCAACTATGGGGCAAAGCAGACTGGCAAAAAAAGCCAGCTTCTGGGTGTTGTGGGGGCATGGCATACACATGCCGCATGCCCCGATGCCATTCCCAAGCTGGCATCATGCTGCCCTGCTGACCAGACAGCAGCCAGAGTCATGGCATTTCTACGGCACAAGCACTGCACTGCAAAAATGCAGAAAAACCGCCACCATGGCAGAAAAAATGCTTCTTTTTGAGCCGGCAAATAGCCGGATTGGGGCCACGGCATGTGGTTGCCGCAGCCCCAATCCAGCACTAAAAGGGGGAGGGGGCGGCAAGCCGCTCCTTCGGGGCTGTCTGTTTTACCCTTATATTTTCCTGAGAATGGAAATATATTTTCCAATATTTTGTACAAAGACACTCCTCATCAGCAAAAAGTTAAAACTCATACTATACAAGTTGAAAAGGTGGACAGTACGGTAAATACAATGTGATGAAAGAAGAGTAAAAGTATGTAAAAGAGTCATTTTGCAAGGATGTTTATATATTATCTAACAAATCCTAGAAATAGATGTTTTAAACAAAACATGTTTCTCAATAAATGTTTAAAACACATTAATCAATAAAATTGATGCAGTGATGATGTGAGAGTGTGACACTTATGAGCATTACCTTGGTTAAAAATAAGTACAGTGGACCCTTTCAATCCACAAGGGTTCAGCTTGGTTCTGCCCTCCCTCCCTGGAAATGGGGAAAAACATGGAGTTATTCAATGGGCGCAACATGCATGGGTCTACATCAGCATGTCCATGAGCACACACCACCATTTAATAATATGTGGAATAGAGATTCATGGGCATTTCAATCTGACGATCACTAGTCTACTGATGCAGCAGGCGGCCCCATTATAAAATGAAAGATTTGGAAGGAACATCTTCCACTGTCTCTGGTCTTTAATAAGTAGCTCCCATGTTGTGGATATGAAATATATGCAATATCTTGATTTAGCTCTTTCAATTGATTATTCGCTTGATCAGGGGTAGGCAATCTTTCCCCTTTAAGGGCCGAGGGACTTCAGCTCCCAGAATCCCAGGAGCTATTGGCCAACATGGGACTATTGGCCAACATGGCTGAGGCTTCTGGGAGCTGAAGTCCCTCAGCCCTTAAAGGGGAAAGGTTGCCTACCCCTGCGCTTGACTGATGGCAGAGCTGCCTAAAAGAGAAAGAAGTGAATTGAAGAATTTATGAAGCGAAAGACAAAGAGCAACTATGAAGAAAACTCTGTTGATAATGGGCTGTTAGCACAGAGATGGTAACAAGAGCAACTGAACAAGGAAGCTTTTTTCAGACCCTATGTTGTGCTGGAGAGAAATCTATGTTGTGGTTTACCCAGCAAAAGCAGGAAGAAAGCACAAAGATGATATGAGAACTTCAAAAACAGAGAGTTTTTTCACAGTTCTGACATGTCTTGTTGGGGCAGAGTTGTTCCACTTCAGCTAGCACTGACTGGCAAGAGGAGGAAACTTGAAAATGAAATGGTTCCAGATACACGTGACTGTTTATCTACATTATGCTTTACAAGAATAATCCACTGCAAAAATCTGTCAGTGTATTTGGGTTGGGAGAGGAAAGAACCATAACATTTTTAACATTTGCAGTATGCCTCTTATGTTAATGTTCTCCTTATATCTGTTAGCTCTTGCATAAAACAAAAATGATTGACAGAACAATCCTACACATGTCTATTCAGTTAATCTTACTCTCAGGTAGGTTTCCCAACCCCAGCCCCCAACACACTGCTCTTTAACTACTGTTTTAAGCGTGTGGTTCCAGAAAGGTGTGTATAGGATTTCTGTCTAAACCTGGCATTTAGCTATAAGATCTTTTTCACATGTAGCTCAATTATATAATTGTCTACACCAGAGATGCACAATTTGCAGTCTTCAAGGCAAATGAGTCTTCAGTCACTCTACGTACAGATCCTGAAGCTGGTAGGATCCCACCTACTTTCCAAGACAAACCCTCTGGGCTACTGGGAAAATGCTCTTCTCTGGTTTCTAAAATGGCCAGATGTTGAGACAGCTGAAAGCCTGAACCAACCTTTAGCACTTCCTAGATCACTGTTTTCCAGTAAAACGTGTGTGAGCACACATGAGCATGCACAGATGTTCAGCATGCCACCCCAACCATCACAAGAAAGGCTCAAAAAGAACATATATCTCAGTCTACTATGTTTGATGGAAGCTACTCCACAGGCAGATATGCAGATCTTGCAACTTAAACATTCATAAAAAGTAACACTTAGCAACAGTAACTAGTTTCCAACATATCTGCAACTGGGCAACTTTACATATAGGATTTATTATATACACAGAGCTGGAACTAGCAGGTTCTCTGTATGAGGATCTTCTACATATTATAGAGGTAGCCTCAGAGCAGAACAAGTATTTCCCATCTCTCCCTTGCTGCAGGCTGCTGGCTTTTTATTTAATTATTTAATCTGACGTAAAACCCATTCGGTTTAATAGGTCTTGTTTCCATGTAGTTATACATAACAAGACTGAAGACTTTCAAACTGCATTAAATATGGCAGGCAAAGACCTTCTTTAGGCAGGCCTTTAGCTTATAATTCATGTGGCAGAAGGGGATGTTTAACAGGGCTATGTTTTTATCCTAGCCAGCATGGTGCATTGGTTTGAGCACTGGACTATGACTCTAGAGATCAGGGTTTGAACCCCCACCTGGCCATGGAAACCCAACGCTTGACCTTGGGCAAGTCACACACTAGCCCTCAGTAAGCCCTGTGATAAGGTCGCCTTAGGATCACCATACGCTGTAAACAACTTGAAAGCACACAACAACATGACTTTATCCTTTTGAATAATGTTTCAAACAATTTGAACTTTGTGTTTTTTATAGATTTCTTTTTAAAAAACTTTTGCTCAGATAGGTTTGTGTGGTTTTTTTTAGCTATACCTTGTTTTAATTGGATGTAAGGCACTGTGGGTCCTGTGCAAAGAGAAAGGGAAGATACAAATTAAATTAAATTAACCAGTGTCCCAAGAGACCAATTTCAGCCCTGGCACAAACCTGGAGACTAAGGGCCTTTGCAGACTGCTAGAAATAATGCAAATTGAGTCCCCTTTAAC